CAAGATCTCCTGCTCCACCGCTGACGCGTGCAGGAAGATGCGCCAGCTCTCGGGCACCTGGGCGCCCGCTGCGGCGGCGGCAGGAAATGAGAACTGCAAAGCACGATGACTCATGGCACTAGCATGCGCTAGCCAAGTTCAAGGACCAAACCTAATTAACCCACCTAACACCCCCTTGACCACGCTGCCCCGCCAACAACTGACCACCAGCCCCGTAGCCGACCTGCTCATCGAGATGGAAATTGGCATAGACTGCTGCATCGGCGATGCCAAGGAAACGACTCTTCAAATAGTCGCCTGGACACGCATCGGGGCGGAACCCGCAGGGCGTCCAGTTGTACGGCGCGGGGCGTCCTACGACCCCGACCCCACGGCGGAGCAAGAGGGGAAGCGACGCGACCGTTGGCACGTGGTGTTGGGAGGAGCGCCGGCGTTGTGGCAAGAGAGGCCTTTGGATGTCTTTGGTAAAGACCCACTCGCCATGAACGGGGGGGCGTGTCACATCGTCCGCATGTGCACACTTAAGGCATCAAGCTTGCGTCATGGTGGGTGTCCTCCCCCAAACGAAGCAAGCGTCTGATTTCGTGGTCGGGTCCCGACTCCATATGACTCTGTCAAGTGGCCGGGACCGCTAGGGGACTTGAAATGTCCAAAGGTGTCTGCGCCTCGGTGGCATCGCTTTGCGTCGTGCGTCTCGAACTTTCGTCATGAACCGCCCTCAACCAATGTTGTTTCCTCCTCCTTCACTCAAAGTCTTCGGGGCCTCCTATTTCGGGGATCTCATATACATTCATATAGCAGTCCGCCGAAGCACTCCACCCATTAACTATATGGAATTCCATGGTCTATCTATATCCCTACACCTTCAAGTACCTCCCTTCTCAGAAGGTACTTGAAGGCCGGTATAGAACTTCCCAAACGAACAGCTTTGTTTCGGTCCCAAGGGCTGCCGGGAAGGAGTTCTGTGCCGTTCCGTCCAAGACCCACACGGTCCATCCGATCAGTCCACCAGTTTGTTCGACCAAAACTGAAAGCTCGATCTCGGCGACCTGTCCATTCTAAGAGGACAGAAAGCCTCCAAACATGACGGAAGAGAAGCCCACACAAAATTTTTAAACCATGGTTCAAGAGAAGCCCACCTATTGTACAGGTCGTTATATTTACATGATATATGTGCATGTATCTACATGTTAAATGGACAGAGTACTTGGTGATTTGCACTTCTCAAGCATGTCCAACACGGAACAGGGTCACACCATCTAAAGCACCTTCACCCATTGTCTAGACAACGCGCTACCTCCGGGGATAGCTCAAAGTGAAGTAATGTACGTAGACTCTTGATCAATAAACCCCCCATGTGAAGACGGTTTACAACCCAAATGGAGGGACTTTTTAACTAAATTCTACATGATTCTACATCTATCATAGTTTGTTAACATTTGTTTCGAAAAGCGTAACATGCTCCCAAACGCAGTTGTTGATCACTTTTGCCTTCAGACGAAATTCCAGCGTTCACCCAAAGAACAGGGATGACCAGGGTCAGGTCGGTCACCGTTCGAACGGGCTCCACTCCCCTGCATCAGGTCGGTACCGAGCACACGCAAAATCCCCTTGGCCAACTCTTGAATGTGCCTGCGATTGCAGAGAGCTTGTTCTTGCGTGGGTCCACAGAAGTCGCCCAAAAAGCGTTGCAGAACGGGAAGCCAAAGCCTTGACCCTGGTGTTCCAAAGGCGAATGAACAGGCATGTCACTTGTCTTCATCAAAAAATAGAAAGGCCACTGGAGCGGTTCCGCCCAACCAACAAGGCCGCGCTCAAACAAAGCGCTTGGAACCAGTCCTTCTTGGAATCCAGTTCTCTGTCCCTTTTGACCTCATCTGCTTCCAAGCTACGCGGTTCCCTTACGGACTTGGCCAATCTTCACGGGCATTCACACGTGTATGTATATAATATGTATATATATATATATATCTACGTCATCCAACGATGACCCCTACCTGATCGATTTGGGCCCCTGGAACAGGGGAGGGGGGGGTTCCGTCCATTCCACATGCCGCACGCATCCAGCCGCCTCGCATCATCCAGCAGCCGTTCGGCATCGGACTCCTCCGCCGCCTCCCGCGCCACGCGCGCGATGCGACGGAACTGGCGTTGGCGCAGCCAATCGGGGCGCCACTGAGGAAGCCTGGAAGCGTGGGATGTGGAGATGTCGCCGGAGATGTGTGTGGGTGTGTGAAGGACTGTCTAGAGCATACCACAACCACAATGCAGGTATTAGATGGCATTAGACATAGATTCCGGGTAGGTGCTCAATTGATCTTAATTGGTTCTGTCTGTTTTTGATTGAATATTCCTGGTCATGCGGATTGTGAATGCAGTTGCTATCATACTGCCTGGGGCTCTACAGGTTCAAAGTATGAAAGCTTTACCCATGTCGATGCCATCGAATCGAAGTCCGAGTCGATCTATCTATGACAACACTATGACCCTGTTAGGGGTCTGTTGTTCTTTCAGGGGTCTCTGGCATTGGCCTTCCATTCCAAACATTCACATCGTTCAGTTGAAACTCCCGGTCGCCATCTGACTGGAGTCTCTACGGAGTTGCACAAAACGGCTCACCACTCCAGTCTGCTTCGCAGCGGAAGGGTTGGGGAAACGAAAGAACCGCTTAGATGGGGAATGAACAGTGTAATTGGAACCTTAAAAATGGCTTGCTGTACATATTTGGAGAGCTGAACAGCTTCCTGGCTTGGGATCAAACATGTACTGCTTCGCTCTTCTTGTTGATCACCGCCCCAGAACTTTTTGAACCACGCCTGGGCTTCATCTGCTCGTGCATGGCGCGGTTCACCCGCAACATGGGAGCCATCTGGACGCCCAAGCCCCGCGCAAGCCAGTGAAGCATCATGGGCGCCTATGGCCGAAGATGGGCGCCAGACGTGAGGGGGGCGCCCCAGTTCTGTCACCATCTTCCAAAACCCAATACACTCCATGGGACTGGAATAGATGCCGCCCCATTGACCCCCCAAACCACCCTAATGTAGGCATATATGGCATACATGGAGCGTCTGGGAAATAAATTGCAACATTTAAACTTAAGCACCGAAGAGATGGTCGTAGGTCCCAATTCGATCGATCTTTTTTGGTCTGCGACCTGGAGTTCTCAAAAAAACACAGGGCATCTGATCTATGTTCAATCCGGCAAGACCGGCTTGCCAGGGTGAAGTAGGAAGGCAAAACAGATACCAACCCCTGGCTTACCAGATGCCTGTACATAGATCAGATGCCCTGTACCAGGGTGTCAGGGTGAAGTTGGGATCTCAATCATTCCCTCCAACATGTCCATACTTCAGGACCAAATCCGGCACCTAGGACCACCGCAAGCGCTTTCGGAAGGTTTCAGCCAACAAGGTTCCGTGCTTTGGCAATGACTGCGCAGGTGCGAGCTCTAGACTTCATGGGAAGAAATACTAAGAAATGGTGTGAGTAGGCACGTGCAATCTTTTCCAGTCTGTCAGGCCCCACCATTCGTCGCCCATTCGTGGCCTTCCCGATCACCCGATGTGCACGATGTCCGAATGTGTCTCAATCCCACCAAAGCCAGAGATCATTCACATATTGATTGACACATCATTGACTGACATAGAGATCCAGGGCTTCAGGGAGGTGGTCATTCGGTGTGTAAGACCTTCTCCGTCCCTCAACAGTACTCCTTTTGGGATCTCATGAGTTCAATCCAGACACATCCCCCGCATGAGCCCATCTCCGTCATCTGCGTGTGGGTTGTGTATTGAAATAGAGGGGGGTGACCCCCAAAAACCCCTTAGTTCAAACATAACATAGACTAAAACCCAGTGGTTGTAGGATGCCTTCTGATAGCTTCACATGTCTGTTCCGAATGCCCAGCAAATCGATTTCGGCCTCGAGTGCTTCACAACGGTCAGCCATGGGAGGCGAAGGCAGAGAATAAAAAGAGTCACGTTTAACAAAGAAGAGTGTCTTAGATACGCATGAGCCATCATGAGCCCCATGGATGGGGTCTCTGGATGGCACATAAAACTACTGAAGTAAAGCAAGTTGCGGCCAAGTTGGAACGTTGGAATTGAGATATTGGCAAGTTGAGCCAAGAAAATAATGTTGATATGAGAATCGACGGACGTGTAATTTAGTAACATCATTGATTCAGGTGTGTCTGCTGTGGCCATCTGCTCAGGTGCCGTGACTTGTTCTGATCGTCATTTTCACACCGCCATGAACACCTGCTCAACTCGTCGTGAGCCAAAACGCAAGAAGCTCGGACGTGTGGAGGAAGCACGGTGGAAGCCCGGTGGATGCCTGGTTCAAACATGTTTGGGAGACAGCGTCAGACAGCTGTCTCATGTGAACGGGAGAAGGCGTCTGTGATACCATTCCCATTGGCCCTGGAGTCTCCAGATGAAAATCATCCACGTGTTGCGAACAAGCACATGGTGGCACCATATTGCCACTGATACAACTGGAAGGTGTAGCCTCAATTCCTTGAATGGCCATTGAATGGCCCTGTTTTCTCTCATCTTCAACCTCCAAGGTAGATCTCATGGACGCTGGTCACAAATACTAACCTCTTGGAAGGGAAAGCTCTCATGAAGAGAATGATCAGCTTGATTATTGTTCAATATGATTATATATTGATCTGTTTACATTTATGTTATATACATAGTTACTAATTGAAACGTTAAAACTCCGTTATAATTCAACACACGTAAATCATCCACAAATCTTCAAAAAGACAGTTGATATTCGGAGAACGAGGTCCTGAAGTTCTTCCGAACCAAAAACCTCCTCCTGAGGCGTACATACACACCTAAGCCTAAGAAGATGCCGCCAGCTTTTCTTGTCTTGCGCAAGACCCAATCCATCATCTGTGGGGTATTCCCAGTGTTCCTCCCCATGGTCACTAAACACCCCACAGCAACCCACAAATCTCACCCTTAAAAAACAGCGGAAACGAGCCCCCGCACGTCGCTGGCGCGCCGCAGCACTGCGGCTGACACGACCTGAGATACCGGCTACAGGAAAGCTCGTTGTCGTACGACTTCGGGACGGCGCCAGCCATCTAGAGGCACTCGGCAAGAACTGATACATAGCAGAACTGTGTAGATTTCTTCTACTAGGTCTGAATATCGGGAGAACCTCAGCTAATTGACCATCTACTGTCCGCGCAAAGGAAAACCTCTTTGACCGGCTGCGAGTGTCTTGGATATCTGATCTCTGAGCGCTCGGACACCCAAGGCCACTGCCGCGTAGGCCTTGGCGGTGATTCTTACAGAAAGACCAACCACTGGGCACATGATGGTCCATGCGAATCATGTAAATCTCCAACCTTGCAGGACATCTAAAAATTTGTAAGCGTTGGGGGACGTCTTTTCTGGATGAGAATGATGCAGGAATGAAAGCATCTGCCTGAACGATTCAATCATTGCACCAAGGCGCACATTTCATCGCCGGGTAGCCAGATCGCCGGGTAGCCAACGGTTTCAAAAAGAACATCGTGCTCTTTTGTGAACAGTGCTTGTCCTTACTACCTATACCAGCTCCAGCGACCGAGGAGCTAGGCTACCCTGAGCCAATTTTATCCTCGGTCGACTGAGAAGCCTCTTGAACTCTTGAACCCGCATGCGCAGCACAAGTTTTGACCAATGCTTCATAGGTCTTTGCCACGGTCAAGTTGTTCAGGACTATCTGAAATCACAATGTTTGCGGATTTTTCAGATGTTTCTTGTTTCAGTCCAGGGCACATCTTTTTGATCCCTGGGAATTGTGACATGTCTTGTATGTTAATTCATGTTAATTCAATGAATCAGAATCCAAGACTAAGGCCGTTATCCGTTTCTTTCTTTTTGCTCTGGTGGAGGTCACAGACTCACCAAAGAATGGTGATCCCACGTCGACCCGATGTTGGAAGAAATCCTGTACCACGTGGAATGGTGACAGAACCTCCCTACAAAACCCTAAAAGGGTGAGTTCAGAGTCAAGTGGATGAGCATCCCCTAGTCACAGTCTATCGCATTTCGGCAAGCGCGTGAAGGTTGATAAAAGGGAGCATGTGAATCTGCGGCGGTTCTCAGCCCACTCTTAGTGCCCCGGCACTTGCGCCCCACGTGGTGCCAGTGCTGTTTGCTTCACCTGCCCATCCCAACGATGCTGGCCCGAATGTGGTGCACCAGCTGGGGATGCCAGTGAAAAACATCGGTTACAGTAATAGTCACAGCAGCATATGTGTTTGAGAGTGTGGTTGACGCTAGTCAATTCAACAGATGTGTTGGGTGAACCAAGAGGACGCTTTTCACACACGCGCACACACACAGGAGGCTACACACCCCGCTTCTCACCTATGCAAAACGGTGCTGCCTCAGCCAGCACAGCACGTGTCAAGTCTTCGGAGGCCTTTTGAGAGATTGCTTCCTTCCCAAACGATGTCAAGGAAACGGCTTCATTTCAACGAACGAGGTTCACAACAGGTTTCGTTCCGTGCTTCGTACACTGCCTTAGATTCATATTATACATACAGGGGGGGGGAAAAAGAATGATTGGCTATGACAAGTGGCACTCAAGCGGACAATGCATATTACATAAGATGATCATGATTTCAAGAAGGCTCTGTGTCTTATCCCAAACTTGAAGCAGAGAATAACCACACGGGGTGCAAAAATCTCAGAAACATATCCAATCAAATGTTCTCATCTTCCAGCGAGGGCTGGGTGTTGATGTTTTCGAATCAAACATCTCGATTGCCCAACATGCCATCGATGTCGATGTCGTGTGTTGCTTTCAATCATAGAAGAAACAAACCCATTATCTACAAGTACACTAAAACCACCTCTTGGAAGCTCAAACCCTCCTGCGGAGAAGCACATCCGGAACCAAAGTCCGAAGCGCCACGGCACGGGCCGCCGGTCGGCTGCCTTTGTTTTGTGCTTTGCCTGCCTCGCCTTGTGTTGGTAGGGTGAATTCCGCTCCAAAGCCCAGTGTCCCCCCATCACAGTGCCTTTCGAGTTGCACTGAGGCTTGAAGCGAAGAACGGTTTTAAAAAATCGAAAGTTGAAGATGACATGGCACATCCAAAAATATCCCAAAAAAGAACCTAAATTCCTGGTTCAAAAGCAACATGTCACATTTTTCTGTGGTCTTGATTAGTACACTTTCTTGTCCCAAGCATATTCCCACTTCTGAGAGTTCATACCTAAGCAAAACCCCCACAAAACCAGACCTTCGTCGCACGTCACCGCGCCTCCTCGAAGTCGCCCGAGAGCCACGCGCGGCGAGCCGCCCGGCGCGGGAGCCACGCGCGGCGAGCCGCCCGCGCGTGGCGCCACAAAGGCACAAGCAACACCTGGGCGGAGCAAGCGGAATCGGATCGCCGGAGGAGGGGTGTTTAGAGTCACTGGATTAAGATCATCCACTGGATTAAGATCATTTAGAGCATCCATCTACTGTCATATACTATCACCTATAGGAAAATGACTGGGTGATCTTCACATGATTCATGTTGGGAGGGTACATCTGAAGAACTTGACCACACAGGGGGGGGATCGTCTCCTCGGCTCGTTGTCACTACACCTGCAAAGGCACTGGATGTTGCCCGCAAATCGTTTGATGGAGCTTGCACAACCCCCGCAAGGAGAAGGGGAGACGAATGGCGCATGGCCAGCAGCCAAGGCCTTACCACTCCTTGAGGTGCCAGGCATCCCAAAAGCAATCCCAGTAGCCAGGACTTCGACATGACCTGCGAGGCAGGAAAGATGCTGCAAGGCATCAAGCGAGACAAAAGAAGCCCACGTACTGCGTTTCGCAGGAGAGCGATGAGAGGTCCTTTGAGCCTATCTGAAGGTCCATCTTGGCATGTCAGCCACTCCTCATGTTCCATGGAAACACACTCTTTGTGTTTCACTTCCGCAACCACTGTAGCGTGAAAGTCACAACCAAAGTGAACCATGCGTCTTCTAGCCAGAGTCCCAAGCAAGATATGCAAAATTGAAGGCTTTCGGCCCAACGAATGACGTACGTCACACGATTCGCCCAAAAGTCTGACTTTTCTGTGCGTTCTGGAGAAAGTAACCAATCCATACACTCAGGGTACATCCAGCCACAGCTGTCTGGCAACCCTGGACCAATCATTTCCTTCTCCAAACGGCTTGAAAGAAATACCCAAAGGAGAGTCTACCATGGTCATAGTCGTCCACTTCGACACTTGCACCGTTGACGACTCCCGTGGAGCAATCCTACGCCTCACCCGCCACCGCGCCCGCCACCGCACCGCGGAAGACTGAAGGTGACGAGAGCGACTGGAAGAGCCGACAGGGCGACTGAGGACTGGGTGGACCAAAAGATCTTCGGTGTTTGTGTGTGTGCTTTCATGTTTGACACAATAGCCATGGACATGCCAACATGATCCAACATGATCCAACATGAGTATATTACTCATAAAATAGTAATATATAATTTATTAAGTCGAGTATACTCATTTCATCTCATTTCGACTAGCATTGTCTGTTTGCAAAATGAACCTTCGATGTTGAGACTTCACCTACCATAACTACCTCACAGGTGGCTGGTTCAAAGCACTGAGGTCAGCCCAATGAGTCGAGGTCTATGAATTCTTACTTCGCTGTTGTGAATCCATGTCAATCGATGTCAATTGCAGCTTATCTTGGGTGGTCAGATGTTCAGATACAAGCCAACTTGACATAGCTTGATGCCTGCAACTGATCCATGGAATCGCTGGGATCGGAGGTCAACCCTGCTCCCGTCCATCGCCAGAGCATCACCCTTCTTCAAAGCTTAAACTCTTGGTTGTCCCTCTATTTTCACCCCTCAAACAGCTGAAGCAACCCAACCCTGGAGTTTCCAACCGTCTGGGCACCGCCTTTCTTCGCGTTGGCACCGCCAAGATCTGGTCGATCTACGGGAGGTGAGACCGGAAGAAGTCAGGTGGATCCGCAGGAGTCTTGTGCACTGGCATCGGTTTTTCGAAGTCCGAGAACAAGACACGAAGCGCTCGGTGTCGCTCGGTGTCTCCGGTCGCATCCGGATGGATGGATGAATCTTTTTGTATAACTATCAGTTCCCAACACTGGAGATGTGAAACTTTGGTGGAATATAGTCCCATGGTGGAACTGTCTCAGGTTCGGACCTGTAGGGCCTGGTCATGCAAGGCTTTGTGCCCCGTCAGACCACAGGTTTTCCAGGCTTGATACCCCCTGCATGTCGTAGATCGAGCTTGATGAAATGGACCATCAAGATTCACGGATCGCTGTTGAGGCACGGCATCCAACACCGAGCAAAGCAGCAGTATGACTCTGATGTTTATACCTTTGGTATCCTTTGGTGGCTTTAAGTGGACTGGTAGCGGTGCTCTCTTTGTCAAACTATACATATATATACACAGAAAATATGTGGTTATGTGGTCTATCTTCCTGCCGAAGAAGCATGGGTTGAATGAATAGCCCTCATGGTCACGTTGCTTACCAATCATGCAACTGTCCTTCAGTTGCGTGATTGATCTCGTGTCAGGCACAGGTGTATCGGGTAGCATGATGATTCAATGATTAATACTGAATATGAATATTCATTAATTAATACTCTACGCACAATTTGACGTCTCAGCCCACCTCCAATGAAGTTGTCGTTGTAGGAGTAGGGGCCCTTCCGCTCAAGGATGTCTGGATATCCATGCAAGGAGAAAATGGCATCTCCGTCCCTTCTCATAGCATACTGAAAATCAAACTCAAAGTCAAATGGACCTGAGGGACCGCGCTTTGCCCATGCTGGCAGTTAGGACCTTTAAAACATCGCTGCGTCGCTCAAGCATCTTGCATCTTAGACCCACCTGTCTCCATTCCGCAGGGCATAAGCTCAGTAGGGCTGGAAGCGCTCTTTGCTGGATTCTGTTCGCACAGCATCCGTCAAAGCTGGAGTGGAATCTGCCGAGTCGAAGAAAACGAGCAGATCGATCGTTCTGGGCTGAGAAATAACGCGAAGATCCCCACGTTGTGGCGCTTTATGATGGGTCTGATTCCTGTTATACCAAGGAACAAAAACAATATCGAATGAGACAACCCTCGGTATGCAGGTGTCGTAAGATTGAGATCCCCTCTAATTTCCAATCAAGAGGGCAGAATGTATCCCAGGGATCACCCTTGTCGCATCGATAGAGCTCCCAAGTTGGTAGTAAGATGTAGTAAGTATATTCAACCTCCCACATGAAGCATCAAATATAGACGCCCTCGCCTGCGCCTGAACTGGGACAACCGTTGGCTCCACCACATCCTCCAGTGGTGCAGTTTGCCCCACAGCCGCCCGCAACTCCGCAGCCGCAGTTCATGCAGCCACCACAGCAGTTGCATTGGCCACAACCGCAACTTCCACAGCCACAGCCACCACAGCCACAATTTCCGCAGCCGCTACAGCCGCTACAGCTGCCACAACCGCAGCAGCCTCCACAGCAAGGGCCGCAGTTTCCGCAGCCGCAGCCGCCGCAGTTTCCACAGCAGCCTGCGTTGCAGCCACAGCCGCCACAGTTCCCGCAGCAGCCTGGGTTACAACCACAACCACAGTTGCCACAACCACAGTTACCACAACCGCAATTGCCACAACCGCAGTTGCCGCAGCCGCAGTTGCCGCAGCCGCAGTTGCCACAACCGCAATTGCCACAGCCACAGCTACCACAGCTGCCACATCCACTTCCACAGCTGCCACAGCAGCCTGACGCACCGCAGCCTGAGCTGCCACAGCCACTGCAGCTTGGGCATGCACCACACCTCAGCACCGCAGGCCAGGTCGTTGCTGCCCCGCCGAAAGCCCAGGTTGGCAGGGTCTCTAAATGTCGTGAGCTCCACGGGACTGCCATAGGACTGCCGATCAGTTGGGGTGGTGCGTTTGAGGGTCAATGGGGCGGCATATATGCCAGTCCCATGGAGTGTCTGGGAATGGGTTTACTTTCCAAAATTACAAGAATACGGTGGGGTGGTCATTGAGCACAAAGTTCAGTGGCGCACAAAGAGCCTTTGATGTTCGAAATGGCATTGTCCCTTCACTGGGTGTCCCTACCCACATCCACAGCCGCCGCAAGCGCCATTGCCGCAACCCCCGCCGCAGCCACCACTGCAGCCGCCTCCGCAGCCACCCATCATCATGGGGTTCATGCCTGAGTCAAAAAAATACTTGAACTGATTTCGTGGTTCGCCTATATAACTGATTTGCGTACCCCCAGACCGCCAAGGCAGTTTCTTCTCAAACGAGTCCCCTCAAACAAGCTTGGACACTCCATTTCTCAGTGACAATGTTTCCAGTGTGTCGGGTACCTTCTGTTCAAACACACAATATTGGAACCCAACCGATTTGTGAAGAACACGTGTTCTTGGACTAACCCATGTTTGTGTGTATCAGGATGCCTTGCACACCCTGTCCAGCTTGGCGTCCACACCCATCATCATAGGCATCATGCTCATCATGGCCTGGTCACACCAGTGAATCAAATATATTCTTCCTCTGGAAGACTCCAAGTTGATTGAAATTCCAATCTAGTGCACTGCACTCGTTTCAAACAGGAAAACATGAAAACATCATAAAACATCTGATTTCTCTGAAGCGGACTTTCGTATCTTGATGCGATTCTGAGGGAACGTGATCTCTCACAGAAGCTTTTGGTTTGACACCGTGGTCACTCCGACAAACGCTGGTTCTGTCCTTTTCCGTGTGTCTCGTCTCGGCCCGTCTCGGCGGAACGGAAGATTCACCCGGATTGGTCGGTCATCGAACGCTTTGATGATCCGTTCCTGATGCACATGATGAATCGAATCGGACAAAGCATCTGCCATGCAGTGGTTGATCAATATTCCTTCATGTTGGAACCGCCATTCATCATGAAAGCACTCATAATTGTCGCATGCTTTCGCGGAACTGTCGCGAATACATGTTAACATGTGCTTGAACTACAGTAGTGCAAAAACACACACCGGTGCCCGGCATATTGTAGCATGATCTACAATCTACACAGAAGGTTGAGAGTTGCCACGGCTATTCTGCTGTAGGGTCACTTGAAGCATCTGCGCAACAAACCTTGAGACATATTTTACGGGTGTTTCAGAAAGACTCATGCACAACTCATCCCAACCCAGCCAACCACCAAAATAGGGTAAGGTAGCTGGGTTGACTAAAATCGGCAATCGCGGGATTCAAGTTTGGTAACCTGGACTTTAAAGGCACATTCGCGGAACTTTCACATGGTGATTTCCCTGACAATGCATTTCCATGCATTTCCTGCATAAGCATCTGCACAACTGTCAGCTGCAAATTGTTGCCCCACTGTCAGGGCTGCATAAGGACAAGTTGAGTTCTCATTCTTTTTGGTCTGTGACTGTGGGGAAAGGAATCGGAGAGACCTTTACTGCGCAAGGATACGATAAGGTTTCAGGCTGTTAGTCTGTGACTTTGGGGAAAGGAATTAGAGAACCCTTTATGCACTGTGAGGGCTGCGCAAGCATGCGATTTGGTTTCAGTTTGTTTGTCTGTGACTGTGGGGAAAGGAATCAGAGAATCCGTTGTGCACTGTCACCGCTGCTTAAGGAAGAGTCAAGGTTTCGGTTTGTTAGTCTGTGACAGTGAGGATACTTCTGCCCACCGGATAGCCGGAGGATTGCCTCGTATCTACCATAATATGATGTCGGTAGAAAGGAAATAACTATGTATATAACGTAATATTATAAAGAAGACCTTCGACAAATCTTTCACGGACAACAAAACTTTCGCAAAGCTCGCCGCAGATCTTTCGCGGATAGTTTAGACAAGGTACATTTTGTACGAAACCCCAGATATGCCCCTTTAGATTAACAACTCCCATGTTGTTAGCCTTGGCTCTTACCAATGCTCCTTCCAAATTATCCCAAGCGAACTCGTGGCGTGACACTGGCATATCTGTGCATTTTGTTGGTTCAACGTTGGCCGTACACCTAGGACTCGAGAACCTCATTTGGGGGCATCATTTGTGGAACCTCAGGCCCTCTCTGTCGAGACCGCTAACAAACATATACAATGTATTCCTGTGCACATACATCTTGGAGGTTGATCATCAAACCTTTCACAACAATCAATTCGAAAACTGCAATGTTGCAGAGATTACAAGGGTAAATCACTGGGACGCATGCGGCCAAACGGAGACATCGCTTACAGCAGTCTTCCATTGTGGCGCTGTCGATGTGGATGTGATTTGTTGGGGAGAGTGTACCCTCACAACCAGCAGGTTGTGAAGCCATGTGAAGCCCACCAAACCCATTGACGCTGTTCCATTGTGCAGCCTTCATCATCTTC